TTACCAGCTAATTATCAACAAATGACACAATTGTATCGTATGACATTGTATTATAAAAAAATGATAGAAAGAGTTCCCGCGAATCCACAAATAACTTATCAATATATTCAAAATATATTAATAATCAATGAGATTAAACCATATAAAAAAGAAGAAGATATAGTAGTAAAAAAATTAAATCTTGTTAAATGGATGTTTCAACAAATACATTCTGGTTTTGTTGCGATTAAAACAGTTAATGATGCAAAAAAATTTTATAATACATGGAATCTTTACATTTCAAATAATATAGATGATGATAATTATTTTCAGTATAAAAGTAAAACAGAAGAATACTTAGCAATGTTATTTGCAAAATGGATTAAAATTAATGTAGTGTCGGAAACAGAATTACCGCCTAGTATTCCAGATGTGATTGCCGGATCTCGTAGAATACGAGAAGAAGATAGTGATGATGATGAGTCTAGAAGAAGTAAAGCTAAAGGAAGAATTTTATAAATAGTATAAATAGTCTCATTATTCATTTTCTTTTTTTTTTAATGGAAGCTTCTTTTTTATGGAAGATTACATTTTTATTAGTTAGCATTTTTTTATTTTTATCAATAATAATTGAAATATCAATTATACACCATATATATCAACCAAATTATAATTTATTTTTCGATTCTATCATTACATTGGTTCGTCAGATTTTAAAGGAAATAATAAAAACAATCGAAACATTTTGATCAAACTGGCGAAAAGAAGGAAAAATTTAAAACCTTCAAAAGTACCCAAAACAAAAGTTAAAAAAACAAATCAAAAAGAAAAGGTTCAATCAAAAAAAAGATCTAAAAAAACAGTCTCTAAAGTTGGTTCTAAACCAAATTATATTACCTGTAAATGTAAATATCAGATAATATAATGGCAACAACAAAAAAAAGAAAAATATGTTCTTTAGAAACATGTGGTGATAATACAGCTTACAATGTTTGTGGTCAAAATAGACCGCCTGGTTCATTAGTTGATAAAATTGATTTTGATGCACATGGATTAACTCCTATTGAATCAAGATTTTTGGCTTTTCCTTTATTACAAGAACCTAAATCTTTTAAATCTTTGAATTTATTAGATT